TTAAGGAACTGATCTAATGTTTTCACTGTCTTCTGCATGTTTTCACCTCGAACCATCAGGTCACACATGGTCAAAGAGGTTTACTCACCCTTCACTTTATGTAGCAAGTTCTAAATATTGATGATTGCTAAATTATTATTAGAAACAGGTTTAATGTGTGCAGATCTGACTGAGACTGAATCTACATTAATTTAAACTAACTTTTTGTGTCAAAGAGCACAAATCTCTACCTGAGTTGACCCTGACAAACACTGATGATGCCTTGGCATTTGTGTCGGTTAATGACGCCAGGAGGAAGTCCTACATTCCCTGCATGTTACCATTCAGACCTAAAATACCATAAAAAGTACAAATATGTCAAACGGAACATGGGCATTCTGGTGGATGTTAACAGGTTAAAGCCTGGCAGGAAATCAGCACAGTTATGGTAACTAACTGAATCAAATCCTGAATTGTCATTCAAATATGTGGCCTTGTTGTTGTTTTGTGTTCTTTTAGGGCCATACTTCAGCTTTACCAACAAACTAATTTGAATAACTTGACTGTCAAAGTGTGTTACCACTCACTCACRCAAAAGAACGTGATTCATATGTTGCGAAACTATGAACAAACAAAATGTAGTGCAGCATAAACGAAAGATGGCAAAGCTATGTACACATCAGTTGTACAATGACCTCAATCTTTGCTCAGATCACTGCACTTTAAAAATGTTTTACATAAAACCTCACAAGCAGAGAAATATCCTACAATAAACAAGCTTATTAAACATGATGTTKCTTAATTTTACCAATTGTCTGAGTTTTTTTCTGTACTGTTTTTGATGAACACGAACATGTGTCTGCAGCTGTCACACACTGTCTACTGCGTTCACTCTTCTAGATGAGTACATGAATAACATTTTATTAATTAAATGTTTAATAAAACTGTCTAATATTCAAACAGAAAACAGTGGGTGGGGACACAGTGGTTAACATGTTCGAAAAGATCCAACAAATTAATTATGTTTAATTACCTTGAAATAAGTGCAAAAAGCTCAGATCACTCAAATAGYACATGAACCCAAAAATTAAGATGTAAAAATAATTGAAAGTTAATTAGCTTTGTAAAACCACGATAGGAAGGTTGATCTGTTTAGGACAAAATGTGTTCAAACTGTTTGAGAAAGACACATTTTGTTGAGCAGCAGTGAAAATAAATGCTGTAATATCTAACAGGTTGACTTTAAAAATATGGAAAACTAATTGCCTTGAAAAATGTAACTTTTACTGTTAGTTTTACATTTTGTTTACTTAAGATATACTTGTCAAGTGTGCTTAAGACTGTTACATGAACTTAGTTTGGTGAAGGTGTTTTAACTAAAAAATAGCATATCAATGAACCTGTTTTTAACTTACATTAAGTTAGTCTAACTTACATGAATAGTAGTTTACTCAGCAGAATCAAGGAAACTGATGGCCGTAAATATTAGTCAGCCAGCCATTTAGCTTCTCCTCTCCTAAACAGCCAGTGAGTTTAAGCTCAAACATTCGATTTGTGAGTAATCATATAAAACATACTGAGCTGAGTGCCTAATTAGTAGGTCTCTTCAGCAAAATCTGCAGAAGCCCATWAGACACTCATTAGGTTCAGCTGTGTTGAACCAGGGCAGCACCTAAAATATGCAGGACACTGGCCCTTGAGGACGGACTTTGGACACCACTGTCYTACATCAAAACACATTTTCAAAGCATTACAATAACTTGTAAACTTGTAAAAGTCTTAGAAATTGTTRACCACAAGTATCCTGTTGGTTTGTCACAGGATTTGAATTTCTCATAGAAAGTACCAGATGATTAAGGACAAGTGTGCACCGTGCAGTCAGGTTGGTTGTTTACACATCACTTTCACATCACCTRATAATAAAGATGAGTATAAACAACAAGTTGATGAAAATTAAGTTCACTTGAAATCTTATTAAACAAAACGTTGCATTTTATATCAGTTATCCGTTTACTGTGAGGATGTGTCGAACATTTCTAMATTTTTGATCTGAATTCAACCTCAGTGTCCTACCTAAGGATCATTGCTCACTTTTTTATATTTTCACTCCATTATTGATCTTCATATAGTTACTGATTAATGCTGATTTATTACAATAAGGTAATGCCATAACCTGTTAATGTGAAAACAGCAATCATAGTAAATAATCCAGCTCTGTGCTGGGATGCCCCCTCRACCCAGTGCAGGTGGTGGGAGMCAGAAGGACTCTGGCTAAAATAACATCTATGACKGAGAACGTCTCCCACCCAATGCATGGAACTGTAGCTGATCTGCAGAGCTCCTTCAGTGACAGACGGCTGCATCCTAAATGTACAAAAGAACRTTACCGCAGATCRTTTCTCCCATCAGCTGTTAAGACTTTATAACCATCACTGCTCGCAACAATCATAAGCATACATGTTTGTGTTTGCACATCAAACGACTCTTAACTCGCAATCATTTCACATATAATAACCAATAACATTAATAATTGTTCACTGTTTTTGTTCCTGTACTGGACTTGGTGACTGTGACTGAAACAATTTGCACACACCTGAGTTCGACTCAATTTGCACACACTGAGTTTAACTCATTTCGCACAAGTCTGTCATGACTGTAATTTCCTGCAACTGTATATCTTTCTGCACAGTAACTGCTTCAATTTTTGTCTAATTTCTCATTGATGGTCTGGTATGGTAATTATTATTCTTATTTTGTTTTTGCTATGATTGATATRGACCAGGGGTGCCCTAACATTTTCCCTGAGAGGGCCAAAATTAAAATCAATCTGAGGGCCGCGGGCCAAATGCAATAATATAAGAAATGCAAATACTTAAGTAAATTTGGTTTATCGTTTAATGATTAAGTTAGTAGCCAGTGTGGTTGCCCACATTCTTTAGTTTTTTTATTCCAGCCCATGGACATGGAGAAAATTCAATGAATGCTCAGGCAGCAAAGGCTCATGGGAATTTTCATAATTTAAAATTTGAGTACATGTGGTCTTATAAGGTGTGCAAATCTATATATGGGCTTAAATCTAATCTAAATGTCTCGTAGTTACTTGTATTTTATATTTAATATTAACATAATTACAATCTAGTAGCCAGGACAACTGCTAGTGGGCCAAATCAAATGGCTCAGCGGGCCAATTTTGACCCACGGGCCCCACTTTGGGCACCTCTGATATAGACACATAGTTGTGTATTGATGTGTGTACCTGCTGCTGCTGCTACACCTGAATTTCCCCWCGCGGGACAATAAAGGCTGATTCTAGTCTATAGAAAAGTCAAATCCAGCAGGTGCTTTTATCAGGACTCTGAAGCAGATTCCATTAATTTCACAGAAAAGGAAATAAAGAAATTACAGAAATGCCAGGGTAAAAATGTTTTAGACATGTGGCTAAAACAAAACTAAAACAACTCACTGAATAATGAGTGAAAGTGTTTGAAAGCAACAGAAAATTAATGTATTTAACTCAACAAAGTGTCAAAAACACAAGATGGAAAAACACTAATGAGCAGCGACACATTTCAAAATTAAGTAGAAATGAATGAAAAGCTAGCTAAAATGGTTTCAAAATAAAACTAAACTAAATGTGAGATAAATAAAAGAATATGTAATATCTTTAGTACCAAAGGTGAATATTTAATGATACAGCTGTTTTTAAGGTATAATATGTGCAACTGAAGACTTGGTTGATCCCTCACCAAGTTTCTCTTAACATTCTACAAATAATTTTGTCGAGTGGCAGCAGGTCACTAATGTCAAATTCCATTATCTTAGGTACCCATTGACCTTAAACATGTCAGAAAATTCACATGAACCAAACAGGAGACCAACTCTGAATGAGTGATGTAGTCAGAACTTATTATTCTAAAGTGTAAATCACATTTTAGTCTCAGAAGCACGAGGAAAACAAGTGTCTATAAAACATTTTCATTCACTGTAAAAACTTGACTTCATTAAAATGGAAGATCTGCCCACTTTCAAAGCTTTCTTTGCTTCATGTAATTGAACATGACAACAGGTTTACATGCCAAATTTTATATTAAAGGATATTAGCCTATATTACTATCTCTATAAAGTTTAGTCTGGTTCTACAAGTAAAACCACTGACCTGACTTAGTAAAAAAAAAAAAAAAAAGGACTGCAACAAAACTACTGTGGTCCAGAAACATGAATATCAGTCTTTGATAGAAACAACTAAAAAGTGAATATAGACTTTGATTTCTATCCATCTATTCATTTTCGTTACCTACTTTTTCTTTGTGGGTGCCTTTTTCCAGCAGTCACACAGGTGAGGTTCATCATGGACAGGTCCATCACAGGGCCACGAAGAGAAATGAGACAAGACAACCATTCACACTCTCACCCAGGCATAATTTAGAGTTACCAATTAACCTGACATGCATGTTTTTACTCCGTGCGAGGAAACTCATGCATGAACAGAGAACTTGCTAACTCCACCCAGAAAGTTCCCAGGCTGGCATGTGATTTTAGGTCCTTCAATGAGGCTCTAAAAGCAGCGCCACCGTGATGCTCTGACTTTGATTGCCTTCCCCTTGAAAGGTGCGATTAGATAATTGCCTTTTAAAACATAATTTAAGTTGTTTGGTTTTATCTGAAAACATTGAGGGCCAGATGAAAATGAGCCAAGAACCACTCCTGGCCCTCAGGCCACATTTTTGCACACGTGAGCTACAGTTACAAATGTGTTTAGGTTGGTTTTAAACAAAGAACAGGAACAATGCTGCCACCTGCAGGTTGAACTGAGAACAACTCCAGCTTCTGACAGACTAAACAAATGTACTTTCTAGGAAGGTCAAAGATTACTGAAATATCTATCTATCTATCTATCTATCTATCTATCTATCTATCTATCTATCTATCTATCTATCTATCTATCTATCTATCTATCTATCTATCTATCTAT